CTATCACTTATAACTATCACTAGACAAAGCCTTTATCCTGAATTTTTGGGGTCGACTACCTGAATCATACTCTTCACACTCGGTTATGCTGATGGTTACTTCCTCCACGAAGTTGATCATCATCATATCTTTCTTGACAGTTTCTAACCATGTTCTCTTTAGCCAACCTATAGCCGTTCTTTTTCTGTTAATTACAATGTTCTCACTTCTCTGAATTGCGCAATTAATGGCTTCCATTGCACGTGATAACACTGTTTAAAATAATTCCCTCATTTTATGCTCAATAGGAGTAACAACTAAGCTCGTCTGTCGAAACAATAAGAGCAAGCCTTACATCCCGCGTGCCTATGTGGAACATGAAAGTGATGTCGGTTTCTACTGATTGTAGAATGAATTTCCAAATGAATATACATGATTAGTTTAGGACATAGAAGCTCAGATCTTCTCAGTTTTATAATACATTACATTATAGCAAGAAGTATGGCTACTCTTATCAGTTAAGGGGCTGTTTGGTTCAGCTAAATTTTTGGAAATCATGTAGTTTTGAAACAAAAAGTAGGTTTTTTGACATTTTTGGATTCCAAAACTGTCATTTGGTTCAATTTTTTTTTTAAAGAATGCATTTCTTAAAAACTGACATGCCAACACACTTTATGAAAAAACCAAATCCTCTTTTAAAGCTCTGAAATGGGCTGGAAATCTGACAACTCATTGACAACTCATCAATTACTCTCACAACTCCTTAATTTTTTTGGTAATGAAACAAACATGAGTTTTGGAAATGCTTTCCTATTCTTCACTTCATCATTCTATACCATGAGTTTTGGAAATGCTTTCCTATTCTTCACTTCATCATTCTATACCAAACACAAGTTATGGATTCCTGAATGATCCAAATTTTTTTTTCCTATTCTTCACTTCATCATTCTATACCAAACACAAGTTATGGATTCCTGAATGATCCAAATTTTTTTTTAGAAATGGTTATTTGCCTTGGATTCCATTTCCATTATTTTATGGAAACGAACCAAACAGCCCCTAAGGGAAGAGGTCCCGAATCATCCAACAAAGAAAAACACCAGAGAAAAATGAAACAATATACCTGCAAACTGGTTGCCTGCAATGTGGTAGCCCCTCCAAGCTTGTCACACCATCTCATACTCTCGAATATCATTGTCATTTATTGCCTGCAATGTGGTAGCCCCTCCAAGCTTGTCACACCATCTCATACTCTCGAATATCATTGTCATTTATGTAAATTAGGATAAACCACAAAACAAGCTTGTCACACCATCTCATACTCTCGAATATCATTGTCATTTATGTAAATTAGGATAAACCACAAAACACTAATCAAGTTTTGTGAAATGACTATTGCAGAGTGAGGCTGCTAGTGTGATCTGGTTATCTGAACACTAGAAGGCTAGACGCCAGAGACCTAATAGAGATAAATGGTGAAAAGGATTAGAGCAGAAACCCATACGTTTTTGGATAACCGCTTTGTTGTTATTGTTGTCGCTGCGGCCGCGGCCGCCGCCATTATCATGCAAACCTCTTTAACTAGGGACAGATACTAACTAGAGATGGCAGGTTGCTACTTCACATTAGTGTATAAAATAAAAGCAGCTAAACCTCTTACCACCTTCCCCAAAATAATAATAATAATAATAATAATAATAATAATAATAAATGAACCCCTCATACTTGCAAGAAAAAGACAATAACAAACAAGCACTATCATAATTTTGCAAATGTCACTGCCTTTCTTCTTCTACATAGAAAGCAAAGAAACAACAATAAGAACAAAAGATTTTTTTGAAGAATTGATGAATAATATATAAATGGCTAAGACTTTAAATTTGCCTGGAAATAAAAACTTTTCGTCCCCATCTGCCAAACTATATGGTGGATCCCTCTAATGGATGACCACATCTTTCATCTCAATCATACATCATAAATGCTTGTAGACAAAAAGAACACATGCTTTGCGAATTTTTAATCCATCGTCTAATGGTTGCAAAATGACGCGACTAAAAAAAAAATGTCATTTGATGGCTGCCATAAAACCTTTCAAAGTGCATAGGTTTTGGTCCTTGTGTGTTAGGGCATGGTAAACAAGAGGAAATGGAATGTATCCTTCATTTGAATAAATCCATCACGAAGTCCCGAGGTCAGGAATGTATTTATGAATGTGTATGTGCCCGTGTGCTTGTGCGTGTGTGTAAGGTGGGAGCTCATTTTGCTCATTTTGCTAGATGAACTAACAAAAAAGTATAGTAGTGGTTACACCATCCTGATAACATCGGACGAGTCGTGCTTTACCACTCCTATCTATTAGCAGCTTTACAAAATGAGGTGACAGCTTATGGGGCTTATACCCAATATCCTCTATATGTATAACATCGATAAGAGGCTCAGATTTCCCATTCATCATATCTTACAATCAGAAATATGGCTTCTCTCCGCATTTAAAGGGAGAGAATCTGAAAACCACCCTAGTTATCAGAAAAGAAAAGAAAGAAAGAAAGAAATAGGATAGGATACATATATGCATATAGATGCAAGCTGGTTGCCTGTGGAAGACCCTCCAAGCTCTTGTAAGATTTACGTACTGTCAAAAGCCTCTAAAAGTTCTGGGGAAGTCATCATCACCTCAAGTTATCAATGCCTTTTTAAATAAACAAGATACAGGCTACAGGATTATCAGGCTTTATGAAAATGAAGTACTGGAAAGTCCGGGATTGTAGTTGAAGGTTAGGACAAGTAAACCAAAATGAAAGTGGATCACCTCCAAAAAAAGAAAGGGTACAAATGCTGTTAAATTCCTAGAAGATAGAACCTTAATAAAGCTAAATCTTTGTTATCTCTGCGTAATTACCTGCAGTAAGGGGAAAGCAGTTTATGAGTTAAAAACAAGATCAAGCCTACCCAACCACACAGATTTTTTTTTTTTTTTTTAGAAACAGTCAAAAAGCCATCACTCCTTTTATCATCTCTCTGTATTTAAATTTTTTTTTGATCTTATTCTTTGTAGGCTACAAATGAATAAAACAGTACAATGCAAAAGTTTTGGTATGAAAATTCCAAAAGCAACAGTTCAAATATTCCAAGACAAATAGGCAATGAGATACAAGAGAAACAGTTTAAAAAATGCACGGGACCCTCAGAACAGAACAACAAACGGAGGAAGCTTTGGTTGATATTTTAGGATCCTCAATGGAAAGCTGGTTGTTTGCTTAGCTGCAGACTGCACAAATTTGCTTTCCATTCATCATCACACAGATAATCTATAGCATAATCTCCAGTAAATCAGCAACATGTAGCTAAAGTATGATTAAATAAAAATTCAAATTTTAGATCTTCCCATCATCATTGGTAATAATATCGGTAATAATATCGGTAAGAGGCTCAGATCTTCCCATCGTTGGTAATAATATCGGTAAGAGGCTCAGATCTTCCCATTTTTATCATATGTTACATTCAAAAGTATGGTTTGTCTCCCCAGTTAAAGGGAGAAGGTTCACCAACCGTTATGGTCATCCAAAAAGAAAAGAAAAGAAAAAGAAAGAAAAAAGATATGTATATGTATATGTATATGTACATGTATATATGAATATAGCTGCAAATTGGTTGCCTGCCGCAGACCCTCCAAAATTGCCAAGCCATTTCATAAGATTTACCATAAAAAAGGTCTTAAAACTCCTGGGAAATCATCATTGCCTCTTAAATAAACAAAGCAAAAAATAAAGAAAGTATTATTTGGTATTTGTGAAACTGAATTGTTGTGAAGTACATGATTTCAGCTGAGGACGCAGATAGGAGCAGGGGTAAACTAAGATGGAAACACGTTGAGGCATCAAAAGAATGATACAAAAGCTGCTAAATTTATAGAAGATAGAGCCCTTAGTAGTGGCAAATTGATTTTGTCATTGTAGAATTACCTCCAAAATGATGAAAGAATTTATGAGTAAAAAATACGATAAGTTCAACCCACAATAAGTTCAACCCACAAACAGAGAAAATTTGCAAAACAGTAGAAAGTCATATCCACCATTACCATGCCTCAGTATTTTTGAAATTTTGGATCATTTTTCTATGGGCTAAGATATGGATAAAACAGTTCGATGCGAATTTTGGTATGAAAATTCCAAAAGCAACGGTTCAAATAATCCAAGAAAAATAGGCAATAAATACCACTTTTAACTAGTGAAACAGTTTCTTTACACATGACACCTTCCCCTCTACGTGACAGCAACCTGGTTGTTTACATAGTTGCAGACTGCACAAGTTTGCATTCCATTCATCACACAGATAATCAATTTTACAATTGTGGAGGATGTGGTTCCTCATTAGCGGGTTTTTAAATAGAGAGATATTTTCAATGACGTTTTATTATCCTTATTCCTAAGAGAAGTAGATGGTATGCACTTACATAACTGACATGATTTGCAAGGACGCGAAGTAATAAAACAAACTTAAAAGGAAAACAAAACATAGTTAGTTGTATTGAAGTAGAGAAAAACGATTTGATATATTATGCAAGAATACAAGCATATTCTTCACTCTATATCAAACATCAAAGAAGGTTGAAGAAATTTACCTCCTCCAAAATTAATATAAGTTTTAAATTAAAGTCGCAACGCTTAATTAACTACTCGACGATGTTCTATTTCTCTCAATAGTAGGTTGGGAAACTATTGGGCTGAAGGTTCAGTAAACAAGCAAATATCTACTAGTTATGCAGCAAGAACATCCAAATTTTGGCAAAACAATAAATACATGAAAAGGAAGGGAAAATCACCATATGTTGAATTATAAAGGTAAAAGTACAAAGAAAAAACTATAGAACTGAAGAATCCTAGAAGTCCAAAATCCAAATGTATAAAGGTCAAAGTACATATAGTAGCATACCAACCAACCAGACACCAAGCTGATTCTCTCAACTAAAGATGATGAATTTTTTATCCTTGGCAAATGTGAAATTGTCCTGCAAAATTTTGAATTTAGGAAGACAACAGTTGGACTTCTAGGAGGATAGTGTTAATAATACATCACTGATGACAGAGAATCATCTTCCACCTATAGATAGAACTACACTCCTCATCGTCAACACCTCTCAGACCATCTATACCTCTATACACCTGCACTAACCAGTCGTTGACAAGGTTGCATAGGTACAGATATGGGTATGGATGATACAGGTGTATCTTCTCTTCGGGAACTTAGTGATCCTCATGGGAGCTTGAGGATAGATGATTCTCATGGTAGCGTGAGAATAGAAGCGTGGGCGGAGTCGTTGATAACGGTGAAAATGTCGAAAGCAGGAGAAACAGTGAAAATCAGGAAGCTGGCGAAACATCTCTGGCCAGTTTACCGATGAGCTTGTATCGGTCGACCGATGCAACACCATCGGTCGACCGAATGATTAGCACCGGTCGACCGTAAACCTGTACCTACAGGGTCCAGAAACATGTGTTCTGGACGGTCGACCGACGCACTATGGTCAGTCGACCGATGAGCCGAGACCGGTCGACCGATTAATGTATGTCGGTAGATCGACGGAGGTTTCCCGGGCTGATCTGGATTCCTATTTTGTACGAATCCTAATTGGGTTTGTCTTAGTTATTTACCTCTTTGTCACCCACGTTATTTAACCTATAAATAGAGATTGTTTAGGGTTTCTAAAGATCAGAAAAGAGTTTAGTGAGAATAGAGAATTTTTTCATTCTAGAGAGATTATGAGAGAAAGATTTTATAATCTTTTATTCTCCATAAACTAGAGAAGATATTTCCTTCATCAAATTGAATTGTTTGTTGTTTTCTTCTCAAAACCCATCTTTGATAACTCCGCGATCAAAGGTGCTCGCAGGACGACTCATATCAAGTTGGTATCAGAACTAATTCAAATCTTGTGAAGGAGTATCTTGTGTATGGTCCTTACTCGATTGCAATACAAGAACCTAGGCGAAATTTTTGTTTCTTTGAAAGAAGTCCAGAAGTCAAAAAAGAAGAAGAAGATGGCTGAAAACGACAATTCATCCGGACTTGATGCAGTGGAGAAATAGATCGAGACAATCAGTTCGATGCTCACAAAGCTCGTCGGTCTCATCCACGAAGGTGATAAGAAGGTTGAACCTTCGTCGGGGTCAAAGAGGCGACATGTAGAATCCGATGGAGACAGTGAGAATTCAGATTCTGACGAGGAGGTCGAGACCGTCAAGACTATTCCACATCAAGAGGGTAAGAGTTCTTACCAAAATTTGAAGATTGATTTCAATGTGGAGATACCTGTTTATGATGGGAGTGTCAATGTTGAGAGGCTTGATGATTGTATTAAGCGTATGAAGACTTATTTTACTTTTTCTGGCTATTCGTCTAAGGAGAACATCGTTTTCGCGGCACTGAAGCTTTCCGGGCATGCTTTGACATGGTGAAAGTCCTACTGTAAGCAGGAGAAGTGTCGTGGAGCAAGTTTAAGGAGTTACTGAGGAAGCAGTTCTACCCGGTGGGATTCCTTAAAGAGCGTTAGTACAAGTGGTATGGCTTGCGTCAACGATTTAATCAAACCGTTCAAGAGTACACTACTGAGTTTCAACAACAAACTATAGTCCTTAACATTACAACGGAGGAGTATCATGTTTTTATGAAGTACATGACGGGTTTGAATGAATACATCCGGAAGGAGATGAAGCTATTCACGATTAAGTCGATTGCGGAGGCAAACGTGAAGGCTATTGCCATTGAAGGCAAGCAGAAGAAGAGCAACAGACAAAGGGAGATGTCAAGCAAGCTGGAGGCGAGACTACCTAAGGAGGAAAAGCAGAATGGTGATCCAAAGAAAGCAGAACTGATTTGTAGTCATTTCGAAAAGACAGGACATGTTGCTGATCGGTGCTGAGAGAAGTATCTTCATCTCAAACCGAAGGGGTTGAACAAGGAGAAGAAAAAAGCATACATGATAGCACAATGTCCGAAAAAAGTCCCAGGGATGACGGATGCCAACATCAGTCTAAACCTTATGGCAGGGAAGCAGACCGCAAAGGAGGACGAAGACCCTAAAGAGCAATTTTTTGTTCTTAAGTTGCAAGTGAAGACCAATTTGGTAGATGTCATAGTTGATCGAGACAGCGAGAAAAATTTGATATCCGAAGTATTGGTTCAGAAACTGGGTCTGAAGACGATCAAGCATCCAAAGCCCTATCTATTAGGGTGGATTCAGAAGGAGACATGGCTGAGTGTAGTTAATCAATGTACTTTCAGATTTACACTTCACGAGACGTATATTGACGAGGTCACGTGCAACGTAGTTCCATTGGATGTTTGTCAAGTTATACTGGACAATCCGTATTTGTGGGATAGATACGTAATCTACGAAAGACGGGCTCAGAAGAATACATTCACCAAAGACGGTGAGAAGTTCATATTTCGTTCGATGCCTCTTCCGAAGGAGACAAATTTGGTGACTGTGACTCAGACGAAAAGGCTAGTGAATGCAAACAAGAAATTTGTCTCGCTGTTCCTTAGGCCTTATGAGGAGCTACTGAAAGAGGATTGTATTTTGGAGCGAAAGGTGACTACGACTAGACGGGGGACGAAAGAGTCGTTTCTGGTTGGACGTCTAGGTCAAGTTCCTAGCAAGGCCAAGTGGTTCAACAAAGAAGGAGGAGCTCGAGAGTTTTCTCAGTTGAAGTTCTAACTTTAAAGGGACTTCAAGTTCCTAAAGGGGGAGTCATGATACGGGTGTATCTTCTCTCTTCGGGAACTTAGTGATCCTCATGAGAGCTTGAGGATAGATGATTCTTATGCTAGTGTGAGAATAGAAGCGTGAACGGAATCGTTGATAACAACGAAATGGTCGAAAGCAGGAGAAACGACGAAAATCAGGAAGCTGGCGAAACAGCTCTGGCCGGTCAACCGATGAGCTTGTATTGGTCGACCGATGCAGCACCATCGATCAACTGAATGATCAGCATCGGTCGACCGAATGATCAGCATCGGTCGATCGAAAACATGCACCTATAGTGTCCAGAAACATGTGTTTTGGACGGTCGACCGGCGCACTATAGTCGGTCGACCGATGAGCCTAGACCGGTCGACCGATTAATGTATGTCGGTCGATCGACGGGGGTTTTCCGGACTGATCTGGATTCCTATTTTGCACAAATCCTAATTGAGTTTGTCTTGATTATTTACCATTTTACCACCCACGTTGTTTAACCTATAAATAGGAATTGTTTAGGGTTTCTAAAGATCAGAAAAGAATTTAGTGAGAATAGAGAAATTGTTCTTTATTCTAGAGAGATTGTGTGAGAGAGAGATTTTATAATCTTTTATTTTTCATAATCTAGAGAAGGTATTTTCCTTCGTCAAATTGAATTGTTTTTTTGTTTGCTATTTTCTTCTCAAAAACCACTTTTGATAATTCCACGATCAAAGATGCTCGCATGGCGACTAATACAATGGATCACGGGTACAGGGTACGGGTACGACGACCTCATATATATATATATATATTATATATTATATATATATATATATATATATATAATATATTATATAATATATATATATATATAATATATATATAATATATTATTATAATATATATATATATATATATATCATATAATATATATATTATGAGAATATGGGTATCACTTGGGCCAAGATCCTTCGGTAGTGATTGTGGACACATCTTGTCCATACATCACACCTTGAAGTTGGTGAGGTTCCACTTCAAGGTGTGATGTATGAACAAGATGTGTCACATCACTACAAGTATCTCTTGGTACCGAAGTATACCCATTTTTCTCTCTCTTCTCTCTCTCTCTCTATATATATATATATATATATATAAAGATAATAATAAATAAAATAAATAACAAATAAACAAAAAATATATATAAACAAAAAATATAACTCCAAAAAATAAAAAGAAAAATATAAATCTCATCAAACTAATCAAATACAAAAATAATTCACACCCCTTCACCCATATATTCATATCCCTCACAGCAACACATTCTACATGAATTTACACATTATCAAATTGAAATAAAGCTCATTCCTTAAAAAACCTACAATTGAGAACTTCATATCATCAGTTAAAAGTGGAAACCTCTTAACTCATAAAAAACGATTAGATGTATCAACAAAAATACACACAAAGAATTATGTGAATAAACATACATTTACCAGGGACTTATATAGAATGCACAAAACACCAGTCAAGAGGGAGGTGGACTTTCGTGAGTAAACCAAAAAGCTAGTTGAGCCCAATTAAACAGGCTGAATAATACCATGAATAAACATTCTCACAACAAATCCACGGCCCAGATCCTCCAACCCTAGAACGAACGCCTCAGATACACCCTTATCTCATTCTCACTCCCTATAAATGCCCTTCCTCATTCCTCACCCCAAACCCTCAGAGAACAAACGCCTCAGATACTCCCTCAGGGAACAAAGAGTTGTTCCTAGGGGTTTTCGTCTTCCTTCACGACCTGCTTCTCTGCCACAAAGTTGAGACTGTTGTTGGGCTTTATCATCCCTGAGACTTCTTTCGGTCCTTGTGCTATCACGTATGTCTTTTTCTCCTCCTTCTTCTTCGGCTTGAGATGATGATACTTCTCCCAACACTGATCAGCGACATGTCATGTCTTCTCGCAATGACTACAAGTCAATCCTGCTTTCCTTGGATCACCCTTCTTCTTTTCCTTCTTAGGTTGGGAACCACTAGACTCGCTTCCAGCTTGCTTGACATCTCTCTTCGTCTAGTTGCTCTTCTTTTGCTTGCCTTCAACGGTAATAGCCTTCACGCTCGCCTTCATAATCGACTCAACCGTCAATAGTTTCATCTCCTTCCGGATGTATTCGTTTAAACCCGCCATATATTTCATAAAAACAGAGTACTCCTCCGTCGCAATGTTGAGGACTATCGCTTGTTGCTAAAACTCTGTAGTGTATTCTTGAATGGTATGATTGAATCTTTAGCGCAAGTCATACCACTTGTACCAACGCTCTTCAAGGAATCCCACCGGGTAGAACTGCTTTCTCGGTAGCTCTTTGAACCTGCTCTACGACACAGATTTCTTCTCCTGTTTACAGTAAGATTTTCACCACGTTAACTTGTGCTCGGAAACCTTTAATGTCGCAAAAACAATCTTCTCCTTTGACCAATAGCCATAAAGAGTGAAATAGGTCTTCATACGCTCGATCCAATCATCAAACCTCTCAACGTCGACACTCTCAACATAAACATGAATTTTAACTCCATCGGATTCTATAGGAACAGCCTTGACGGCCTCGACCTCCTCGTCGAAATATGAATTCTCACTACCTCTATCGGATTCTATAGGTTTTTTCTTGGACCCTGCCGAAGATTCACCTTTCTTTTCGCCTCCGTGGATGAGATCAACGAGCTTCATGAGAGTTGAATTGATTGTCTCGATCTGTTTTTCCATCGCATCAAGCCTCGATGAATTATCGTTTTCAGCCATCTTCTTCTTTTTAATTGATTTCTGGACTTCTTCCAACGAAACAAGAATCTCGCCTAGTTTCTTATATTACGATCGAGTAAGAATCATACACAAGATACCACTTCACAAGATCTGATCGCTCTGATGCCAACTTGGTACGAGTCGCCGAGCGAGCAGCTTTGATCGCAGAATTATCAAAGGTGAGTTTTGAGAAGAAAACAATAAAACACACAAAACAATTCAATTAGCGAAGAAAAATACCTTCTCTAGATTATGAAGAATAAAATATTATAAAATCTCTCTCTCGCAATCTCTCTAGAATAAAGAACAACTTTTCTATCCTCTTTAAACTCTAATTTCCTGTTTAGAAACCCTAAACAATCCCTATTTATATGTCAAACAACGTGGGTGGTAAAGTGGTAAATAACCAATACAAATCCAACCAGGATTCGTGTCAAAACAGAATCCAGATCGGTCCAGGAAACCCGATCCGATCAACCAATGTACAACTCTCAGTCGACTGGTCAACCCCTATCGATCGTTCGACAAGAGTGCGTCGGTCGACCGACCAGAGAACATGTTTTCGACCCTGTAGTGTGCACGAATCCGGTCGATCGGTGTTGGTCGTTCGGTCGACCGGCCAGAGCCTTTTCACCAGTTTCCTGATTTTCGTCGTTTTCCTGATTTTGACCGTTTCTGCCGACATCCGTGGCTCCGTCCATGCTTCTATTCTCAAGCTACCATGAGAATCATCTATCCTCAAGCTCACATGAGGATCACTAAATTTCCGAAGCAGAGAAGAAGATACATCCGTATCACCTAACCCTAGAAAACTCGCCTCCCCTCAAAACCCTAATCTCCCCTCCCCCATCTGCGCCCTCCCCGCCGGAGCCCCTCAAAACCGCCGCCAACAAAAACCCTAATCTCCCCTCCCCCATCTGCGCCCTCCCCGCCGGAGCCCCTCAAAACCGCCGCCAACATGCAGATTTTCATCAAAACCCTCACCGCCAAAACCATCTCCCGACCCTCGTCGACGCTTCCCCGACCTCGTCGAAGCTTTCCGGACCCTTGTCGACACTTCCCCGACGCTTGTCGACGCTTCCCTGATCTCGTCTTCGATCTCCGAGCTTCCCCAACACGTGGGAAATGAGTTGCTCCCATGTCCCCTCCGTTTGGGTGCCGAAACGTACCCAAACTGCACCCGACACAGGTACGGTGCCAAAATTGCTGTGTCGGGGTAGCATAGGTCATTGATAACACAATCAACCTTCCAGCACTCTCCTGACACAAAAAATCATGCACCAACCAAACTGATACACATCTACTGCAATAAGATTTACTTCATTAGAATTTGATGAAATCCATTGAAACTTAATCACAAAACCTTGTCTAGTATCACATAATCTTGTCTAGTACACACTGTTGTAATGCATGCCAACCTTGTTGCAACTCAACGCAGGTATTTCTACAAACATGTTCGATGATTAGAAACTAACAGACCTGTTGATTCTCTACCCAATCTCTTGAAAACCACACTGTAGAGTTGAGTGTGAAAAGCAATCTCATTAAAAAGTCGTGACTTGTTAATTTGTGAGTACATGTAAACGATTGGCGATGTCTCTCATCCAATCTCATTAAGTTCTCAGACAATAGAAACATATTGTCGATAATGAATAGCTACATACCATAAGCGGAGTGCTTCGCATACATCACAATGAGACCTCCAGATCAGTGCAGTGTGATGTGTTCCTTTATATCTCTTTTGATTCAAAATGAGAGCAGATTTGGGAGAAGTCTTAAGTGTCTCGTGTTCGGCCAGGGGTCCTAAATGTTTTCTTCCTATTTCACTCCATCAGAGTGCTCAACAAAGATTGACAATGGCGTGGCCTTAGTGTCTGTTTCATTGATCCTTTAGTTTAAATTTACGAACCAAAAATTTCTTATTGATGGCAAATAAGTTGTTGATAAACTAAAGCTTATTATGGATTTGAGCGAGGCATAACTCCAAATCCGTGTCAGAATATCAATAAATTACAAATTTTAAAGAAAGAAATACACATTCAAAGAAAAGAAAAGGTGTACGCTGACCTGATTTCATATTGTCAAAGAATGAGGAAAAACAGAGAACTGAACTTATAAAAAGAACCCTAGAAGTTCAAGTAAAATAAATCAGCTGATCCAATTAATTTCATTAAGAAAATCTTACAGCCTAATATACTAGCATAAAAAGAGTAAAAGCTTGAATTGAGGCATAAATTGACCTTGGTTTCCATCAAATATAATGTGAGATAATCCTGCGACCGCTACCCGGCAATGATCGGCGCCCGAGGATTTTCGCCTCCCAAGGACAGAGAATGGAAAGGAGCAAGGGTCAAGGTCACCTTTAGGGCTTGTTTGGTACAAGGTTAAAGGCGTTAAACCTTACCGGGTAAACTTTTTCTTAGCTTTAATTATCTTTGTTATAAGCTATGTTTGAGAGTTTACTGGTGAACGGAAAGGAAAGGTGAGTTTAAGGAAAGAAAAAAAAGTAAAGAAGAGAAGGGAAAATATGATATCTTGTTTGAGAGCTTTATAAGGCAAATGAAGGTAAACTTAAATTATGTTGATTAGAAGTTCTAATTACATGAAGGGAAGGGAAGTAAATGAATTTTAGTTGTTGATCTATTATGACAGAGGATTAATATGTCTCTTTTATTAAGATCTTTTGATTTCTTTTCCTTTCCTTTCATTACCACCTAATTTGAGGGTGAAAGAAATAATTGAAAACTTCTTCTTCCTTACATTTCTTTACCCTCCTAATAAAACTCCCAAACAAAGTTACACTTAAAAATTCTCTCTCTTTTCCTTTCTTTACCATCCATCCAAATGCAGCAAAAATGTTAAAATTTCACCAAGGTTAAAAGTTTAACTACACATGAGAATAATCTTCAACAGAGTGAGGGGGTAGGATAAAAATGAGGGAAAAGTTTAGGCTTGGTTCATTTAAACATGTGCAATTATAACCCTAAAAACATTTCAAAACATACCAAAAAGCCCCTAAAATAAGATAATTCCAAATATCACCTTGTAAAATAAAAAATGACAAACAACCCCCAACAATTCCAAATCCCAAAAATTTCAAATATTGTAAAAATACCCTAAACTTTCAAAACATGCAAATAACACTTAAATTTTCAAACTTTACAAAAATCATGTTGTGTATTTCAAAACACACAAAGAAAAATGCTTGGTGTTCCCTATAATATGTTTGGTGTTCCCTATGCATATAAACATTTGGTGTTCTCAATGTTTTCGATCTTTGGTGTTTTCAATGTTTTTACCTTTGGTGTTCCCAACACGGTTTAACCTTTGGTGTTTTTTATGTCGTATAACCTTTGGTATTCCATCATGGCTCATCTATAAATAGAGACTTGATCTCCTCAGTTGAAATATACTGAAATCACTCAAAATACTTTAGGTGCTCTATCTTCCTTCATGTCAGAGAGAGATATTTGTTGTTCTTGTAGAACAGGTTATTGGAGTGCACTTTAACCTATTGTATGCCGTTGAATCCTATGAGGAAAAACGCCACTGTAGCCTTTTGCATTGAGAAGGGGCGAAATATTTTCTTAAGGACAGTGATTACACGCCTCGGCAGTTCGTACACTTTGTGCCTTGTTTTAGCCATAAGCAATTTCTTCAATAATCTTAAGAAAAGATTTGTCCAATGGCTGGATCAGAAAATGGTGTCACCAACCTCAATGCTGCAACCACAAACTTCAACGGAGTCTCGACCATCGTTTTGTAGGAGAATTATTTATCTGGGCAACTTCTCTCAAATATCGAAGATCGAACAGTTCCAGAGAAATCATTTCAAGCACTAGAAGGAAAGGGTTTTTGATGCCCTTGATGTTCTTAACTATGCTGAATATCTCACCGAAAAGGAATCTCTACCAGGTTCGGTAGATTATGAAGCAAGGCTAGTGGCTTAGCAGAAAGGTAACAAGGTATGTCGCCATACCATCCTATCTACCCTATCAATTAGTTCTTCGATATTTACTGCTCCTATAAGAATGCATATGAAATATGGGAAAAATGACAAACAAGTATATTATCAAAGATGCTGATACACAGAAATATGTTATAGGAAGTTTTCTAAAATTTCAGATGAATGAAGAGAAAGAAGTCTCTGCTCAAATTCATGATTTTCATATACTTATAAGTGATTTAAAAACTGAGGGAATTACCTTACCTAATTCCTTTATTGCTGGATGTTTGGTTAAAAAACTCCATGAATCCTGGGATTATTACAAAAATCGTGTAAGACACAAACGGAAACAATTGTCTCTTGAAGATGTGATTGTTCATATCCATATAGAGGAAAAGAATAGGGCTCGGGAAGCTAAGGAATTTGATTCCAAAGCGAATATTGTTGAAGATAAACCCAGCAACAAGTTTAATAAGAACAAAATGAAGCCACTGAATAAAAATCAAAAGGACTTGAAGGTTAATGGAGATACCTTTTAGAAGAAAAGTAAATGTAATTGCTATGTGTGTGGAAAACCGGGACACAATGCTTTTTGGTTCAGGTACAGAAAAGATAATAACAGAGACAAAGATGACAACAAAAATCCTCCAAAAGCAAATTTTGCTCAAAGAGATGTTTTCGTGGCTGTTGTCTCTGAAGTCAATCTGGCTACTGGGGAGAAGAACTGGGTGGTAAACTCTGGAGCTACCCGCCACATTTGTGGTGATGAATTAGCCTTCTCAGCATACACTAAAGTCAATGAATTCTTTTAAGGGGGGAAGAATATAAAACCCCATAAAATAGAGTGAATGAATTATTTTTGTGAAATATATGTTTATATCATAGATGAATGCGATAACAAGTGTTTGGGGATCAAACAAGTGTATTTGAAATATATGTTTATATCATAGATGAATGCGATAACAAGTGTTTGGGGATCAAACAAGTGTATTTTATATGAGAGAGATCAAGTGTCAAGAGATGAATGCGATAACAAGTGTTTGGGGATCAAACAAGTGTATTTTATATGAGAGAGATCAAGTGTCAAGATCAGCACACACACAACATGCACAAACAGGAGAAAACCTACGCGGTCGACTGTCGCGTGCGTAGCAGTGGCAGGAGGCCCCTGTCTCTTGCACGGTCGACCGTGGCGGTCGACCGCTGGGAGTTTTGCCAGCTTTATTTTTTCGGGTCAGTTTGAGTTTTTGGGTCGGGTTTGTGGACTCATATATATAATGTTGTAATTCGTGAGAGCCTCTTCTTCATCTGAGAAAAACCCTAGCAGCCTCCTCCTTCCCTATTGCAAACCCTAGCTCTTCTTTTGGGTGTTTCTTGGTGGATTTTGAGGAGTTTGAGCGAGGTCCAGTGATTTCCAGCGAAGGAGAACGTCTTACAACGTTGCTAAGAGTAGTTCATCATCCCTCAGGTGAGTTTCATCTCGTCCAATCCTATACCCATGTTTCTAATCTTTTCTAATGATGTTTTCATATGATTTGTGAGCCTAACGTGTTATTTTATGTAAAAAGATTGATCTATATATAATATGTTGCAAGAAGAACAAGTTTTCAGCTAATAAAGATCACTCACGATTTTTCTTAATACAGATCTGGATCTGAAATTGTTTCTAACTAGAGTTTTGAAAGAAAAATAATTGTTTTTGAAGGTTTCGACACAAATACGTATGTTTAATTATGTTTCGCTTTGCCTATAGTGACTAATCTGTTTCTCACACGTTTCTTGATGTAATATATCATGTGTATAAGTTTGATAGTGATTATAATCGTCGCACACAAATTTTTGAATCAAAACCCTCGTGATAGAACCTGTAAAGGAATTTCAGAACCTGCGCGGTCGACCGTGGCGGTCGACCGCCGTACTCACAACAGAAGTAGTAAGCTTCTGTCTCTTGCGTGGTCGACCGTGGCGATCGACCGCTGGGTACAGATGAGCAGAACCTTTCTGGTCACTACGCGGTCGATTACAGATGTTGGCGGTCGATTGTGAGCCCTATGTTTGTGCAAGCCTTGTTATTCACGTGCGAGTTGTGTGGTTGGCATAATATCTGGGTTATATGGGTTTGATATACACTGAGATTTTTATACATGAGTTAATTACAGATATGAGTTTTAGATTTATTCACCGGGGCATGAGGGTGAACGGTATATATGTGATTTCTGACACTATTTGCTTGTTACAGTCCTCGTGTTAGACTATAAGCTATCAAGTCTTCGTGTTTGACTATAAACTATCAAAGTCCTCGTGTTGGACTATAAGTTATTAAAGTCCTCGTATTGGACTATAATCATCAAAGTCCTCGTGTTGGACTATAATCCACTACAGTCCTCGTGTTGGACTTTAAGCTATTGTAGATCATATTTTGGACAATTATTCATTTCAGACCACGAGTTAAGTATATATTTGACATATGACAGGTCATTGATATTTCGGTTGGAGATGAAGTTATTACTCCACGTTATAGCTTTTGGATTTGATATTTAGCTATTTACAATTTGAGCTAAAGGAGACGTACCTATGCTCATGTTGTAAATTTCTAAACATCAAACCTCTATTTTATTTTCACAGTCGATGTTTGGCTATCTATATGTATTATCAGATATTTTCTTATCCTTCTAGCCCTTTTCCCTTGGGGTTGGTTGAGATGTTACTCGCTATAGCGCTTTGACGCTCGTTGTTTTCCCACCTTTAGGTAACGAGCTAGGTGCACGAGGAGCCGTAGCTTGATGAAGTCACTCTAGTTATTATTTATAGTTTCTACTAGCAGTTTATATCAGAACTCCACAGTAGATGTATTTATAATACATTTGAGTATTTATTCTAGTTTTATAAAGGCAATGTGCCTTAATATCAGTTCAGTTGATTTCTTATGTCGAGACATTTGTATTCAGATCAGATGTTTACTTTTTAGAGACTTATCCATTTATATCAGTGGAAATGATTATTCTTCTAAATATATGTTGTTTAGTACTCCTTTTGTATATTCTCTATTACTTGTTCTGTACTTACGCCTATTATTAATTCCACTAGATAGATAGTAATTGTGATGGTAAAACGTGTTATTGCACGGTGTAGTACGTGACAGGTTTGATATTCTTAGTTTCACATTAGATTGCAGCCTTGTTGAAACTAGGGGCGTCACAGTTGGTATCAGAGCTCTAGTTCCAGTATCCTTAGGATCATCTTGTGTTGAGTCGTGGAGTTAGAGTAGAGTTTCTTAAGATTCGTGTATAGAGTCCGCTAGAAATTCTAGAATGAGTGATGACGTTATATACGCGTGTTCAAAAATTACAAATATTTTTTTCGATACTAAAAGTATTTGAGTGAATGATATATGATATAAAATTCTTATATGTTTTGTTCGAGGAACTATAAGTCTTCTTCTATATGCTCAGATGGTTGGACATGGTAGACCTCGTACCCGGAGAGCTGAT